CCCCAAAACCCCAAAACCCCAAAACCCCAAAACCCCAAAACCCCTTGTAAAATATAATAGATAAAACAATGAACTTTGCAAGCCAAGCATTCGTTGACACACTGATAATAAAATGCATGGAGCCTGATAAGGAGTATAAATGGGCAAAAGATTATGTCAAAGACCATTTATTCACACAAAAAGTGCCGTTGACTCCAGCTGCTAATCTTGTTAATAATATTTATTTGAACAATCAGAATGCGAGTAAGGTAGTTCTTGTTATATTATAGTAAACAAGATGTATTCTACTCCTAATAAATCAAAGGAAAAATACTATACTCCTCAAATGAAGAGACCTCTTAACCTGGGTAAAATAAAGGTAGTTGTTTTTGGTTGAAATTTTCATTTAGATTGATAAAATTCCTAAAAGGAGGAAGAGCAAGTAAATATTCTGAGTACAATTTCAATAAAAAACCTTCAGGAATTAATCTTTCACAAGATCCTAGCTCGATAAAACCTCTGAGGTTTGGTTATTCAGGTTAAATTATTAGGATGGCTGAAAGAAAAGATAGCCAGAAGATTAAAATTGTTGACCAAAATTTCCCCACCAAAGGTTATACAAACAATAGGGTAAGTTTAACTCTCATTTCTTATAACATACGTTATATTTAGACTATCAAACCACCAATTGTAAGTTGTATTTACCAAGTGTAGTACCCAAAACTGAAGAAGAAATTTATCAAAACTGATCAAGAGACTTTACCATCTGTGCATAAGAAACATCATAAATAAAAGGAGTACAAAGACTTTCTTATCTGTCTAGAATATTACTCGCTCAAGGACCATAATGGGGAGAAAATTATGAAAATTCAGAAGAAAGCACTTGAGAAGTTAAAGCATGAATGGAATTATAAGGTACAACTTTCTAGTTAATGTCTAGAGATCTACAAATCTACTAATGATGTAAGCGCTTTGAGTAATACTAGGTACAACATGAACACGATAGACTACATCACAAAGCAACTTGCCAATGATAGAAAGGTGATGAAGAGAGGCCTGAAAGTCATGAATATGAAATACATCAATCCTGAAGACCACCATCCAAAGAAGAGAGCTATGGAAATCAAAGAAAGATATCAAGATTACCATTTCTTGGATAATCATCAAAGATCAAGAACTCTTGATGAACAGGATAGCTTGATGGTCCATCCCTATTCAGGACAGTCTCTGTATGGAGGTTCTTCAGATTTCTAAGATTCAATCTCTTATTATTCTTTGGGGTTTTGGGGTTTTGGGGTTTTGGGGTTTTGGGGTTTTGGGG